ACAGGATGGCCGAATGTTATCGAGCAACACTTCCGGCCTCACATAATAAATTATTTACGAACTTAGGAAATATATAGAACTTATTATTCTTATAATATAATTAGTAATTTCATAATCAAGTAAATAGTTCATTCATATTTTCTTTATACTTATAATATTTTATTGGCGCCTTCCGCTTGACAGCTTCCGGCGCAATAAGCCTTAATGTTATTTGTTACATAATTCGATATTATTAAATAATAATTGTACGTAAATAATCAGCAGAATAATTAAGATGAACAATGTTTAATATTACCTACTCAGTTTGTATTAAAATAGGTCAAGATGATTGTATAAATACCGACGGTTAGCATATCTCTGTTGCATTCGTATTCTACCCACCGTAACGTGTACTAAAGAGAATATATTATTTCGTGTGGATGTAAATTGTCTCAATTGTCGCCACCACCCTGAGGATCCGTTTATAATAGTTACAACGGCTGCCCCGCCCTTCAAACCGAAACGCATTACTACTTCACGGCAGAAATAGGCAGGGCGGTGTTACCTACCCGTGCTGACTCACAAGAGGTCCTATCACCAGTAATTAAGCCTCTGGAGATGCATAGGAATACCTTTAGATACATAAATCAAAAGAAATAAGCAGTGTGTTTTAACAATTATAAACCGTTGAAATTATAAAATGTACAATTTTCACACTATAAATATTCTGGGGAATGCTCCGAGGTATGTGTTTCCGATGTTCATGATGCCAAGAAAATGTCAATTTAGTGTCGTTAAATCTTGTTTTTTTCCCCTACCTATGCTGATAGCCTTTAGAGGCTATATCAGCGTTACCCTAGCATGTAGGTGAGCTCTCGGGGCTCAAACCAGGAGGTGTTGCTAACACTAGCCCTAGCAAGAGCAGTGCTTTGCAGAGTCTACCGACGGATCGGAAACGCGACTCACTGAGAAGATCCGGTNAAGAAAATGCCAATTTAGTGTCGTTAAATCTTGTTTTTTTCCCCTACCTATGCTGATAGCCTTTAGAGGCTATATCA